AAATGACCAAGCCTACCACTCCAAGTGCCATACTCACTGACTGTCCCTGACAGTCCTGAAGAAGCCGCGTGGGAAGCTGCAGGTTCGACTGGCGTGATGGATGGTCCTTCTCCTGCAAAAGGTGTGCGTTCATGACTGAACCACCTCTCAAGAAGAAGAAGAAGATGAAGAAGAACAAGCCTACCACATCAAGTAGCATAATATCTGATGGTCCCTGAAAGTCCTGAAGAAGCCGTCTGGGAAGCTGCAGGTTCGACTTTCGTGATGGATGGTCCTTCTCCTGCAAAAGGTGTGCGCTCATGACTGAACCACCTCTGTAAAATGACCAAGCCTACCACCTCAAGTAGCATAATATACAGTAGAATGAATATCATATTATATCTCATTGTCCCTGACAGTCCTGAAGAAGCCTTCTGGGAAGCTGCAGGGTCCACTGGCTTGATGGATGATTCTTCTCCTGCACAGGTATCACATGGTATCACATAAACAACATCTCTGTAAAATGACCAACCTCACCACATCAAGCGCTAGAATTCCTGCCTCCTGCAGAAGGTTTGGAGGAAGATTGCTTCTGCCCTGTCTTGACCATGCCATTTTCAAAACAGTTCATAAAATAACTTGGATTTTTGATTCTTCTACTCACACGAACTTTACTTGACTCATGGCACGCATGGCCTCCACAGGCAGGAACTTCTGCTTTCACAACTTCCTTCTTGGGAGCTGGGGCCTGAAGCTGTAGTTCCGAATTCAGAAGATATCAAATAAACATCAAGACATGGAGAAATCACCATCATCGTGCAACTTAAGAGACAAGAAACCCACAACACGCTTTTCGCATAACAGCTCTTCGCGACAGGCTGCGAAGAAGTCTCTGGGGCGTTGCATGGCATGTCCTTTGACAAGACCACATCCTCATCCCCATAAGATTGACAAACACTGCGTGCGCTGACACAGCGTCTGTAGAATCATGTAGAATCTATTGGCCTTTGCGGCACTCAGACTTAGACGGTCTACATATCCGTCATGTGCTTCAAGCATCATGGCGCTTGGACTAATCGGCTGGCAGAGATTTACTGATCACTTTGTGGATCCCTTCCCGCCACCCACACACGTAAAATTGCGCGACAGAATACTCCGGTGTATGCTGCTGACGAAGCCAGGTCCTTTCCACCACACCATTTTCCATTGCCCTGCTGGTGGTAGTAGACCTGAAATAACACCAACAAAACATCAAACTTATCAAACACATTGAAAGAATAAAACAATATGAGCTGAAACATGTTTCAAGACTTGCCTTGGGCGTCTTTCTCTTGTTGTTACGCTTCACCAACCTGTCCTGTAGACATCAAACATCATCAAACCAACGCTGCCAAACACTTCCGATCAGATTGAGTCCTTGATCATTTTCTTCTTGTCAGCTGTCATACGCCGTGCCAAAGTCTCACCAGCCCTGCAATCACAAGCTGTCGTACTTTGCCATTCATCAGCGGGCCCAGAAAACAAATGAAAACAATGTCACGAAGCTACATGAAAATCAGTCCTCCAATTCACCAGAAGGTGGGTGCATTTTGCCAAGTCGTGCGCAAACAAGCCCATCCAAGTCGTAACTTTCTTCCTGAAATCAAGAGGTGAAACCATGCCAAAATTTATCAAAATTTCAAAGTCCACACATGTCCACACTCGTACTTGCGCACAAGTCATATCAAGTCATTTAGAAGGATTTCACTTTTCGGGTTTCAGCCCAGACACAATCCCCACATCTTAGACACCGCGATCATGGGAGGCAACTTGAAAGCAAAGCTGGAGGACGGCTGTTCGATCACCAAACGCAGATCAGAACGAACCCTGTGGCAACAGCGTAGTCGGCAACAAAAAGAAACACAGGCGTGAGTCATGAGCACATGAACCATGAAACAGCATCTTGAAAACGTGCCTGTAGATGACCTTCAAAACTTCAGCCTGAGGTGAGTTTGCATGAGCGTGAACATGATTATCAAGTGGTCTCACTCAAAACCACATGAGAGCTACAAGCACTAACAGTCAGCCAGGTAACGAAGTTGGTCCAAATGCGGTTTGCGCAGCGAACTCGAAAGTTGTTGGTGTTGCCCCACACGTTTTGCTTTGTTCGTTGGTGAACAGAGCAGCATGCCTGCACAAACAACGAACAAGGAGGGCCGCACACCATGATGCCCTGCCACACTAACCTGAGGCGAGCTCAAGCATCCCACATCATCCAAGTGTAAGTCACAACTCGCAGAAAAGAATCCATTAATCCTGGGTTGATCTAGATTGCAAGCTAGCAGTAAACATGGCTAAGATGCCCCAGCACCATGCGCATGAGCTCCACAACCCCCTCAAAGGTAGTGAGATCATGCTGCTCATTGAGCAGAATGTCATATGCTTCCGCATGGAATTGGGCTCGCTGGAAACATGACCTTGCCCAACAGCAAACTATAGAATGCCACATCTGGAAAAAGTCACGAAAAGTGTAAATATGTGGAAGAGCGTGGAAGAAACACGGAGCCCAAGTACTCAGGCAAGTTGCTTTACGCTCTGGGACGCGCCAAAGATATCCAGACAATGGCATACTTTGTCACCAACTGCTGGGAGATCCGAAAAGGACGTCACTCAACTGGTTTGGTACACAGCATAAATACTACAAGATACTACAAGATACTGCTCTTCTGACACTACTTCTGACATGTTGTTCTTTTCACCTCAGGCCTGCCTTCTGAGGCAAAGATGAAGGCCAAATGGACAAGGAACATGGTGTGCTTCTCTGCTTTGAACCACCTGAAGTCCAGTGAGTCTTTCAGAAACCGTGCCCTCTCTATGATTTGACTGCACCCAACCCCATGCCAGCACAAAGAATGTAGTCTTATCATGTCTTATCTGATACATGCTGATATAGTCAAATAATGAAAACATATGTAAACCAAACTATATCACACCACGGGGTTTGGCCAGGCACTTTACAGAAAGGACACTTTTGGTAGACTTTCTAGTAAAGAGTTGGCTGGTAAAGTTATATACCTTAAGCATCTGTGAACCTATCTATGTCACATGAGGGGGTCTGGTCAGGCATTTTATAGAAAGGACACTTTATGGTGGGCTAGCATGTCTCAACTCCTTTCACACAACCTTTCTATACCCTTGGTATGCACAGTAGTTACGTGTAGTGGTACCACAGATCTAGGAGCATAGCCTGCGCACATCCTCATACATTCAGTAGCTTTTAGTAGATATACTTCTGCTGAAAAAGTTTATGGCTGTTTTGAGGCAAGTTACTTGACCTCGTCAACTCCGCTGGTGGTGTCCAACCCCTTTGGCATGACCACCATGGCGTATCGAGCGTATCAAGGAGAGTTTCAAAGCTAATCTGCCAAATGCTATATGTAGCGGGAGAAACCACCAATCAAAGAATCTCACACGCAACATTGATATGCAAGACGATCAGGGGATCATAAAAGATCTCTCTCTCTCTCTGCAAATTCTTCAAGTATGCTGTTGTAAGCTCCAAGGTCACTTGCAGACGAAATCAACACCTCTCGATTGAGGACTGGGCTGCCTTCGGCTTGTCTTTTAGAAGGCGGCTGATTTCAAGAGTCCACTTCCAAGTCGCCCTTGGCAGCATCGTTCTCCAAAGGAAGATTGTCTCTTTACAGAACAGATCAAAACAGCTAAGCAGATTTCATTGAACTTGAAATGGTATGGGTATGTATGGGTATATCATGTTGAAATATTACCTACAAGATTCAGCTCAAATCAACTGATACACTAAGCAGTCTTCTGAGTCTTCTTTCCAAAAAAACACCAAAAAGTGCATGCTGAAGCGCGTCTCGTCATCATAGTACGCGTAATGCCAAGACGGTCTGTTGTTGTACCACTTGCACCGGGTGACTTGGCTCTTTCATTCTGCTTTTCCATTACTCACGCCACACGAGAGAAGATCAAAGTCACAAACTTCAACAATATGATACAACTTGCAATGCGTCATCCTGCATTGCATCTCAGTTACCCCACTTGCCATATTTTGGGTTCCATGCCGGCGGATTCATGTCTTCAATGCAATTCTTAATCCCCTGGGCTGGCGGCTGAAGCAAGCCTACAGAGTGCTTGCCAAAGAATAAGACACTGTAAGACCATATATTTAATTTACATCAGTTTGCCATAGATTGATGGTTGCCAACAAGAAGCGCAAGTCGTTGGGCATCCATCTGGCGCTTTGGATGTCATGGCTTTGGATGTCATGGCGTTTCCTGTTAGTATCATGCAAGACCTGTTCACCTTTTCTAGTAAAACTATGCATATCACATCTTACCTCCAAGACATATCATTCTGCTTTGTTCATCTGCAGACATAGCCCTAAACTGCGCGCGTCAAGAATGATTTCAAAAGCAGCAGTGACATCATGCACAAGCAGTTTTCTCTATAAAATGAGGACCCGACGTCCCCAGGGGGTAGGGGTCATAAAGCAAAATATGGAGGGTACACCCTCCTCATTTCATAGAGGCTACTAGCACCATGATATAGTCATAGTCTCTTTTTGGTTGTGGTTGTGCGGCGGTCCATGCTTTCCTAGGTTTAGTCCTTTGGCGTGCGGCGTGCCAGCACCACTGCACTCCCCCTCCACAACGGCAAGCACCTCTGCCCAGCGCCTCGGCAAGCCAATTGGTTGGTCCAGGTACAGGCCGCCTTCTTCATACATGAGACAGTACTGAAAGACATCGGCGAGGTGTGCCGGATGCTTCAGCTGCACCTCTGAAGCAGCTGCACTCCAAGCTCTCCGGCGAAGGCCTCCATCTGCAGCCCTGGGCCCTGCGTCGTCAACGAACTGCCTCTGCAGATCAGGACACATCCGAGCCTTGTTCTCCTTCACCTCCTCCATGTATATATTGTCATGCATCTACGTCTGCTACAGGACCCGTGGCACCACGAGCACAAGCTAGCTTGCTTGCAGTGTGGCCGAACACATAGGTCACCCTTCCAACCGTTGTCACCCCGCCTAGAGGCATCGGGTTCACTGTTGCCAGCGTCGATAGCTCCGTCATCATCTGCTTGGGGCCAGTGGGCTTCGCCCAGGATGTGCCGGCTCCCGCGCGCAAACAATGACTGTAACAAGAAAGACAACGGCGACAAACACGAGAACGAGGGACTGACAGCTCACAAGCTGGAAGTGAGACAAACGTGCATGCGTTCAATGAAGAAAAGCTGGTTGGACAAGCTGTCATGGAGAATGGGCGAGATGATGTCCAGCCATTTGCTTTTTAATCAGTTGAATTATGGATAGCTTCAAAAGTCAAAGAAAGTGACGCGCGCCAATGTGATTGCATCCAGGCTTCTTTGGATGGCGTCAGAGTTCCTGCTTCATGTTTGGCCATTGTTGAGCGAATATGCTTCTGATGAAGCGGAGCCAACAGTTGATCGTACCTGTGAGGAGAAGTTGAGCCCCTGGTATGAGACTGGTGCAGATGCTGAGTTGGGACTGCTAACAGCTCTGAGTGGTCTCCCTGGGAGGTCCCTTCAACTGACTTAGTTCAAGGTTTACAGGATGTGGGAGCATTGGCCTCAGGGGTTTTGTCCCTAAAAAGCAAGGCCAAACAGCTGGCTTTTGAGGAGTCGAAACGTGAAGATGAAGCATATTCGGACACTTTCATTCTTAACAGTTTATTTTCGTTTGATCTTCATTTTCATGGGTTCTGACTTAAACTAGTTGCCACCACTTGCTCAAGTCTACTGTCATGCCAAAAGTTCTGAATGGAAGTTGAAACAATTGCCCACGCACAAGAAGTACCAACGAGCTAAGAAACCTCAAAACCAAAGTCCTCAAAACCAATGTGAGAAGTTATGTGAAGGAGCTGCCAAGGCATTTCGATGTGAGAAGTGATGTGAAAAACTGTGAAAAAGGGAGCGCAAGTTACACGAGTGCCTCCACATGTGAAACGGCAGAACCCAGGAATTGTGCGACTTTTTCGCGTGTTGTGGTGTTCCCTGCCACGGAGTCAGAGGATGGAATGTCTGATCCAGCTCTTGAAGGAGGCAAAAGGTTTTCCAGTGATGGGGGTTCGCGTTTGCCAACAGGCCTTCATGATGTTGAGTGGTGTTGCAACAAGCACGCTGCAGCGCGCGCGAGAGTTTGCCGCACAGAATCATCAAACAGTCCTTTCGAAGCTTGAGTTGGGCGGCTGGTTGGAGATCAGGAATGCCAAAAAAACCTCCACGATATTTGGAGTCTTAGCAAACAGTAACTGTGTGTTTTTTTCCGTGTCCAGTTTCTGACACACAAAGAAAGCACTTGGATCTGGCTCAGGAACCGCAAACAAACATGTAGAAATAACATATTCCCATCATATTCCCCATGCCATAAAATTCACCCAGTGAGAAAAGAAACTCGACATCACCCCCCCAAAAAAAAGATGATATCCCACCATATCTCATCTCCTCACCCGGCGAGCGCGTGGAACCTGCGCGGGCGTGACCGTGACCCTTTTCCGACGGGTGCCGGGTCACGAGCCATGGAGAGGTGTGACGTGTGCGGGCTTCTGGGAGGTGGCAATGCTCGTATCAACATGAATTGGCTTGGATGTATGCAAAAATACCTGTGAAATCTAGAAACACATCGTAGTGGAGGGATGAAACACAGAAAAACTGTGGTTGTTGTTTATTTTTTTCTGTAGATGTTCTCTTCAAACCAATGATCCCAGATCCAAATCTAAACTTGTTGACGCTCCAAACTCTAAAAACTTTGAAATTTGGCGGCTATGTTTCCTATTGATCCACATACTTCCAGGGTGATTGGAGACATATTATTTTTCTAATATATATATATATATTTGTAGGCTTGGAGGGTGCAAGCACCTTCTGAGAAGGTATGTGGATACCTAGGGTCTGAGGGTCTGCAGGGTTTGTGTTGATTCGACAGGGGATCAATCATGAACCCAGCATGTATTCCAACGAACGGACATCAACAAAAATAAACAAGGAAGGTGAAACTTCATAGGTCGTACCTGGCTTATCTATACCTAGAACCGATACATGACCTCTATTTGGATTGGAAGTTTGGTCATATTCTCGATATCTGGTGGTCTAAGATAGAAGTCCAGCCGGTCAAGTTCATCTAGGAATGGCTACTATGGGACCCGGCTCCAGCCAGTGACTTTCAAACCTTCAACACCATGCCTCTTGATTGGTGTTCGTTCGCTCAGGTGGCAAACGTATCTTCAGAACAGGCAAGCTGTGCCATGTGCACATGTGACCACCGGGTGTCGAAAACTCGGAGAGATCCATCCATCCGAACGAACTGTGAATTCCAACCTGCCTGATGTCCTGATAAGTTTACTTCGAGAGACGCCCATGGCCCAGATTCCCATCCAATCCTGGTCCGAACCAGCCAGTCAAATGGAACAAAAGAGAACCCTCCTCTCGGAAAGTTTCAACTTGGTGGCCCCATCCGGAAGAACATCCCAACTATTCCTGTGGATCCACATACCCCATACATCCACTGCCTACCGATGTGTTTGACCTTCTTGTAGGGTGCCTGAGCTCTTACCAAACCTGAGAAATTCTGAGAAGGTATGTGGATCCCGAGTGTACACTTAACAGAATATGTGAGTAACAACAAGGGTTCACCCTTGTACTGTGGTTTGTGTTAAAGCTTATGATATGCAACAAAAACGCTCCTTTTTCACCCAACTTGGCGGAGGCAGCACCAGGTCCACCGACCTGAGTGATGTTTGTGTCATTTTCTCGGTGCGTTCTGGTTCTCAAACGAAGCTACTGTGCAAACAAAAGGGGAGAAACCACATAACAATTGGGGCACACACTCTTGATGCTGGCGCTGCAAGTACTGTTGTCTGTCATCGCAGATTTTCTGAAGGGTTGTCTGTTGGCTGTCATCGCCAGCGAGGCTGTGTGAGAAAACACAGGCTCAAAGGGACCCGCATCCTATGCCTGCCTTCCCTGCCGAGGGAGGCAGCAGCAGACGAACTGGAGAAAAGAAAACATCATTGACCATCTGGCGACCGAACCATCGATTCCTTCTATCTATATATGTTTTAAGTCTCTGGAACCACTAGACCTACCCTACCGGTGGCCTGGAACCACTGGGCAGAATGCATCAAACGGGAAGATGAGAAACTAAAAAAGAGATCAAATTCGAGAGTCCGGAGTTAAAAAAGGCTCCAACCTGGTCCTGGTTACACCGACTTAATGACCAACAGTCACATGACCCACTTTTCAGCGACAACTCCCAGACCATCCATGTATGGAACATTTACCTACTTTCGGGGTCAATGTATGTAAATACCTGGATCTTCCAACTGTGCAAAATGTCTGCCTTTTCATCTATAAAACCAGCCAAAAGGCAGGTATGCCATACATGGATGGTCTGGGAATGGTGCCCTTTGCAATATGACAAAAGGGGGGCCCTGCATGCTTTTGCAAGCTGCTTGGGACTGGGAACTCAAACAACAACACTCACCAAGCACATCGTATAGTACATTGATACGATGTTGATTCTCGCTAAAAAAGAGAAGCACCAGGGAGCACGTTCCGTAGAGTTTGATGCTTATGTTCCAGGGGCTGATGTTCTAATCGCCGATCAGTGTTGTTGGTTCTTCGAGTGTTGATCTGAGGAAATCCTGCTGGATCTCGGCTCAGGAGTGGTGAACCCCTCGTCTCTTATTGAGAATCTCATCATGCCAGTATTGGTTCTTTACACATGACTTGTTTCAAATTATATATAAGTATTGAAACAACATGTACTGTCAGTCATATATACCGCAAAATCTGCACTCGGGGTTTGAGTGGAAATTCTGTGGGGCTTCAGTGGGAAAAGCAACAAAAACACTTGGAAAAAGGACACTCCACAAAGGGCAATTCAACACTGACACAGCAAACATGTTTTCCGGAACCATGCCGGAAACTGTGGGAAAAGAGTGGGAGAAGTGCACAAAGATCAGCTGAAACGTGGGACACAAGAGGGTATTGCGTGAAAACGTGCTGAACCGTTTGGATCCAGGTACCTGTCAGAAGGGAGATGTCTGAAACCTTTGCAGTCTCAGAAGGTATCTGGATGTGAACAAAAAGGAGGAGGAAACAAGCTCCCAGCAATGGGTTGTGGATGTTTTAGAACCCACCATGGATGGTTAAGAGCGCGCTTGTCACCCCGGACCAGTGACTCGTCACCACGTCCGCCCGTCTGGCCAAAGCACAGTCCACCCTCAACCAAAGCCTCTGGAAGGATATGACGCACCTGGCCGATGAACGCGTTTTTTCCGCGTCCCACCCGGACTCCTTAAGCGCCTGTCACGGCCCGACCTGTCACCGCCTGTCACGGGAGTCGTTCGGACTCCATCAGCCGACCCGACCCGACCCGACCCGACCCGACGAAGACTCCGACCTGAAGCGACGACAGATCAGTTGGAAGTTTGGAACAAGGACGAAGCGACATCGGTGGGTGGGAACTGGCCCCTCGGGGCGCCGAGGTCGCCTGCACTATCCTCCTTGGAAGGTCTAGACTGGAGCCATCATCACGATGCAATCTCCGGAGATTTTCATGTTTTTGCCATATTTGGGATATGTCTTCTTCGGCTCACAATGATTTTGGAGCCTCAGTTTGAAAGACTCTGGAGGTTTGGGGGGTGATGAGTGCTGAGACTGGATCTCCCTTCAGTCCATTCAATTCCCAGTGCATGGATGGTGACGAATGGACTTCTCCATTCATGGTCGTCTTAGCAACTGTTTCTGGGTGCAGCCAGATGCGCCTTCCACGCTCATCTTCCTCTCTTCCCTCCCCACTGGTCACAGAGTCACTAAATTTGCTGACTACAGCGATCCTTGCCAAGTGCAAGCTCACGGGCAAAGCCAAAGCGATAGACACTCCCCTCTCCCAGCACCTGCTGTCCTACACTTGAAAAAGAAGAACTTACCAAGGGATCCCACCCCAGCGTCTACACCGGAACACATCATGTGGCCTAGACCCACCCAAACCCATGTTTGCGGGGGCTCACCTTGAGGTATCGCAGGGTGGTGGCCACGCGCTGCTGCAAGTCAGACCTCACGAAGCGAGCGATCGAAGATCGTCACCAACCCAAACACATCGATGGATGGATCTACACATCCAAAAAAACAAATCATGTCCAGTTTGCACTTGCCTAGGTTATTGCAAACACATCGATGGATGGATCCTACACATTCCGAAAACGAACGCCACTCGGGTCTCGGATCTTTCACGGCTTGTTCCCCTTCGAAGATCGTCTGACCCTCTACCAACCTGATCGTGGTGTTGAGATGCTATTCTGCAGGGAGTATCGGGGAGGAAGTATATGCCACCCCCTACTATGGAACGTCTTAACGTCACCACCCCCACTTCATTGTTCTATCCGTGAATGACATGCATGATGCAACAACCCCAATTCCACGTTCTCTGTTGAATCTGTTTCAACAAAAATCACTATGATGTAGTTAATGGCACTTCTGTGCTCTTGACCAGAGATGTTTGGCCAAGCTGGGGGTGGAATTGACTGTCTTGGTGGTCTTGCAGGTCTTGGAATCCACGGTCGACGGATATAGAACTATCAATACAATTCAAAGTTTCCAGCAAGTTTCGAGCGCCTCTTTCCTGCCACGGCTCCCTGGCTTGTTGTGAGAGGAAGGGGCTCTGTACATGTCTCTTTACGTGGTACGGCCCCTGCAAGTTTCTCGCGACTTCGGGGATTTTCACAAAAGCCCTGGCCCATGGGGTGTTGGAAAGGGTTGAACAAATACCATGGCATCAAATGAGATGAGACATGCTTAGACCAACAAAGTGCGTGCCATCAATAATGGGATTGCTCTGTACATGATTGCCGACTCCTACTATATAACTTGCGTTTGGGGTGGGTTGGGAGAATCAAGCACACGAGCTCGTCATCCAATCACAAAAACGGATAGAACATAGAAAACACCCTTGTCGACACATGTCATGCTCGTAAGCCGAAGCTTCAGAAGTAGAGTACCATGCCGGTTGACCCATATAAAGAAGAGTTACACTCCGAGTCACTAATGTGGGGTTCACCACCTGTTTGTAGAGCACAATTGTCATCCAAGAGGCCATGCCATCCACTTCCATGTGTGTTTTCTGACCATTTGTTTCTAGGAGTGTACCTAGATTGGGGTCAAGCAAGGCCAAACCATTCCTCTGTCCCGTGGACTGTCCGGGGTTGCTCCTGTTAAGACTTACAGAAATCCACCAAGTCAAAGGATTTTTGGTTTGAAATGAGACGTGTTACCCCTCCCTGAAATCATCAGGGGCCAATGTGGATGGCATAGAGAGATTTCCAAATACAAACAAAGGATGAACTCTACTTTCCATAATGTTGTTGGAGGGAGGGTACAGGATTGAATCGACCACAAACAGGGTGGTTTGACCAAACCAAATACCCCAGGATGAGGCCACTTACGCCCGTAGAACTTAGAGACTCCAAAGAGGTCACTTTGAAAGTCCTAGTAGTTAAGGACAAGCGGTTTAAAGCAAATCTGAAGTTGAAGGAAGAAACAACCAAGCTAAGGACGTGTGACACAATCAGGCCTCATGGCTTTCAACCCAGCCAAGCTTACACCCCGCCAAGGACTTCTGCATCGGGCATCCATATCACCCCTGCACAGTCGACAATCTCCGCACGGCCACCAATGCTACAGCGCCTGTCGCGAGCTGTACACAGGCGCCGCTTCAGCGATGCGGACTGTCGTGTTGGGTCCCCTCCCAAGCACCATCCGAGCGTTTGGCTAAAGAAGTCCAAGCAAACATGGTGTGTAGTGAAATCAACATATCTGGAACCCAAACACACTTTAGATATCTTGCAATGACCTTAACACGCTGTTGAACATTGTACAACACCCTTTTCTTTTCTTTTACATCATTGTTCTCAGGCAATACTGGAGTCGTTCTTTTTTTAGTTCATCTTCTGGACTTCTGTTACAGGAGGGGCGAGAAAACTCCCACACTTTTGGTGGTCTCGCGAGCTGTCTTCGCCTTGCAGCTACAAAAACCGGCCCACGCGACGCATGGTTGCATGACTTTCGAGCTGAAATCGAGCTCAGCTGAATGACTAGGAGCAAGGACGCTACTAGGGGCTGCTGGCATTGCTACTAGGAGCAAGGACGCTACTAGGGGCTCCTGGCATGGCTACTGGGAGCAAGGACACTACTAGGGGCTCCTGGCCATACTACTAGGAGCAAGGACGCTACTAGGGGCTGCAGGCATCGCTACTGGGAGCAAGGACGCTACTAGGGGCTCCTGGCCTTACTACTAGGAGCAAGGACGCTACCAGGGGCTCCTGGCATCGCTACGGGGAGCAAGGACGCTACTAGGGGCTCCTGGCCTTACTACCAGGAGCAAGGACGCTACTAGGGGCTCCAGGCCTTACTACTAGGAGCAAGGACGCTACTAGGGGCTGCTGGCATCTCTGCTGGGAGCAAGGACGCTACTAGGGGCTCCTGGCCTTACTACTAGGAGCAAGGACGCTACTAGGGGCTCCTGGCATCGCTACTGGGAGCAAGGACGCTACTAGGGGCTCCTGGCATCGCTACTGGGAGCAAGGACGCTACT